CCCCGCCTGTGCGGGGGGGCCCAGCCGCACCTCCGCACCACAGACCTTTGCTGGCCGGCGCCATGGCGCCCGGGGCGCTGGGCTCGCTGAGCAGCCGCTCGGCCTTCTCGCCACTGCAGCCCAACGCCAGTAACTTCGGCGCCGACGCGGGCGCCTACCCGTTGGGCGCGCCGCTCGGCCTCAGCCCCCTGCGCCTGGCCTACTCGGCGGCGGCGGCGCACAGTCGCGGCCTGGCCTTTATGGCTCCCTACTCCACTGCCGGCCTGGTGCCCACACTCGGCTTCCGCCCGCCCATGGACTACGCCTTCAGTGATCTCATGCGCGACCGCTCGGCCGCCGCTGCTGTGCACAAGGAGCCGACCTACGGCGGCGGCCTGTACGGGCCCATGGTCAATGGCGCCCCTGAGAAGCAGTAGGGCGAGCGGCCCGGCAGTCTGCGGCCCCCAAACAGGGACCCCAGGCTTGCCCCGCGGGCTGCCGGCCCGTCTTTGCCTGGTGCGCTCTCTGAGCCCCGGCTGGGATCCTCTCTCTCCAAGGTGGTTTTCAGTTTTGTTTTGGACGGTGGGTGGGGAGAGCTGAGCAAAGAGGAGCAACTTCAGATGCAGATGTTCTCGGGGGGGGGGGGGGATGTGAGACCCCCATCCTCGTCCCGCGACCCTATCAAGGCTGCCCATCCCTTCAGAAGGCCGGGAATTCTTGAGAATTCAGAGGCTGCAGCCGCTGCGCAAGCTCCTGCCTCTCCTGTCGCTATGCTCTTCACACCTGCCCGCGCTCCCAAATGGTTGGCAGGATAGTCCGAGAGTCTGTCTTCTGTGTCTCCCCCTCCCTTAAAAAAATTTTAATATTCGCTCTAACAAATATAAATTTAGGATGTATAAATCTCTTGGCACTGAGTCGAGTCTTTGGGACACACATATATATCGATATCAATTGTAAAAAAAAAAAAAGGAAACAAGTTTTAAGGTGCACTTTCCTCGTTGCGGTATTTGTCGCTCTCTTTGTTGCTTATGCCGATAAGCATGGGTTTCCTTGGTGCAGTGTGAGTTTTTATATATGTATAAATCTATATATAAACTATACATATATATACAAGCCAGTGTATAATGTTATAAAATGGAATTCTAAGTTATTAATTGTAATCTGTAGGTGACCTCGGTATTAACGTGAAAAATATTCAAAAACAAGCAAAAAAAAGGACAAAACGGGAAAAAATTAGACTATGCGCGCATTGTACTTATCAGGTTTATAGATTAAATATATTGTAAACTCGAGATGAATCCTGCCCACCCGCCCCTCTTGCCTGCGGCCTGTCTCTCCCTAAGGAGCGGTCTAGGTGCGCACTGAAGCAGGAACAGAGTGACCCGTGACTGAGCCGGAACCGCCCGCCGGAGGGCCCATCCCCGCCTCGCGGGACTCGCCAGGCGCCTCGGCCGAAGGGCCGGCAGCGGGAAATGCTGCTGCAGAGAATGGCTCACTTTGTGCTTTCCTTTGCCTAGACATGAGCTAGAAATAAATGTTATTTTCTAAGAAAACAGCAACGAATCCCGTCCCGCTTCTCGGGCGGCCGGGTTGATAATCTTAATTCCTCGCCGGAGCCGCGGTATCAGGGAGAAGCTTGACCGAGGTCCGGAGGGTGCTTACGACCCTCGTGGGTGCGGGGCGAGGAAACTTCCTGCAGCGCCTGGGAGAGGCGCGCGCTCAGCACTCCGGGAGGAGCGGCGCCCGCCGTGCTTGTGGGACCTGGTGTCCTTCCCACTCCCCGCTCGGGCGCGCGGGTTGCGGAGGGGTCGCCTTGCCAGTGCTCTCGGTCCCCGGAGTCCTGCGAGGCCGCCGGCCGGGTTCCCGTTCTCCCCGGGGCGCAGATTTGGGCGCCCGCCGCATGCCTCCCTGTTCAGGTTTGGAAGGAACGGCAGCCGAGACGGCGGCTGGGGAGGGAAGGCTAAGACCGCTCTCTCACAGAGGCCAGCGGCCTGGGAGTTATTTTTGGGGTGGTGGGGCGCTGCCTTCGCCCTAGACAGTGTAATCTGAGAGCGGCGGTGAGGACGCGCCTTCCAGCCCGACCTCACTCCGCGCCCCTTTTTTACCTTCCCTCCTTAAACGGAGCTGAGGAAATTGGCGGCTCCGGGGCCGACACCCGCCTGCGGCCTCCCGAGTCCCTCCCGCTTCTGGCTGGGTGACTCCCCCTCTCCGAGAAACAGGGTGTCCCCTCCCCTAGGCTGGGCCGGCGACTTCCCAAGGTAAACTTCTGGGGCCGGCTCGAGTTCCGCCAGGCGGTGAAACTTAATAGCAGGGACAAGAAAACGGTTTAATAAAGAAGGGCTTTAATAGGGAACTAATTTGATTGAGTTGCCTAATTCCACTTTAATTGGAAAGGGGTTTGGCTGTTTGGTTATAAAGTGCGAGGGTGATGAGGAGCTGGAAGTGGGGGGAGAAGGGGCGAGAGCAGAGAGATGGGGCGAGACAGGCAATGAAGATAGGGAGGAAAGAAGAGAGAGACGAGAAAGAAAAGAGGGAAGAGTTACCTAGGAAGTAGAGAGGAAGGCGGAAGAAAGTGCGCGGGAGCTCCTGAAGTGTGAACTTTCTTGCGCTTCAAGGCGGCGCGCTCTCAAGCCTCCCACTCCAGGTTTTCCCTCCTCCCACTCCAGGTTTTCAGAGGCCTCGCATCCTCTCTCAACGCGCGCTCCAGCTGCCCCCTCCTCGGCATCAGCCCTCTTCCCCGCTCTAGGTGAGCTTAAGATCAGTCTTGGTCTCTTGGTTTCAGGAGGGATCTATACTGGGTCCTCTGAAGTTCTCGGTTCCTGCTGGTGCTCAAGCCAGACGGAGAGAGGCTGCCTGTGGGCCCGCATTACCCACTCTCCAGAACACCTGGAGCTTAATAGCTTTCAAGGTCATTATTTTAGTTTATTCTCACGGCAAACCCGGGAAAATCCAGTGAGTTGTTTATTATCATCTCCATTTTACAGAGGAGGAAACTGAGGTCCAGAGTGGTTCAGGGACTTGTCCAACCATCCGGGGACCCTGAATCTCTTTTCCTTTCCATTTTCCCAGTGGGCCTGCCTGTTCCTCCCTCTCCTCTCGTGAAGCGGTCTCGGCTGGCCGACGGCAGGGGCTCTGCGGTAACCCACCTCCTGTGTACACGTGCGGCCCACAGAGGAGAGGCGGCTTGCTCCTAGCGCCCAGAGAGGCCGCGGCCTCAGCTTTGGGCTTCAAGCGTCGTCTTCCGTAGAACTCAGAATGGTTCTTCAGCGGTGGAAGTTAGACGGGGTGGAGTAGTGGGGTTCCAAGGTTCCTCCCCTCCCTGGCCCGATGATAGAAACCCAGGGTGGTCAGCCACAGCCTTGGCGCCTGGCAAAGTCCTGCACCCTCGGGACCCCGGACTCCGCTGCCCACGGAGCAGCCAGGACTACTAAGGCTCAGAGGCTGACAGTGACCTGCCCAGGGTAGCACATCCAGGCTCTGAGGAGCGAGAATCAGAGCCCAGGACGCTCAAGCCGGGTTGCTAGGTTGCAGCGGTGGGAGTGGCATGGGCGGAAGAGTAGGCACCTTTGGTTCAGGGAGCTTCCGTAGTGGGCGGGAGGGGGCTGGGGCCTGAGCTCCGCTGGGATCTGTATTGGGGAGGAGCTTGGGGTTCTCGCTTGGGGCGTTGCTCTCACCCCTGATGGAGAGGACAAAGGTGGGAGCATCACCTCTTTTCTCCTGGGAGGGGAAGATGGGACAGGAGTTCCCTTCCTGATCTCTACTGTGTTTATTTCCAAACTCTCCCCTAAGCCGGCTGGAGCTGACCCAGTCCTGTGCCTTGGGGGAGACACACTCAACTGAAATAGTAGTCCTTTTAAAATTATCTTCTCCTCTTCCTCCTCCTCCAACAGCAGCACTGTGTGCCTACTGTGTGCCAGGTCCTGTACTAAGCACATTCCCTGCACAGGATCCTGCTCAGTGGGTGAGAAAGAGGCAAGAGCTGGGATCCAGGCTCTGTCGCTGGCTAGGTTTATTCATTCACAGATTACTCAAGTCAGCAAATATTTGCTAAGTACTTACTGAATGCCAAACCCAGTACAAGACAGGTGCCATCCCTGCCCAATAAAAACTGTGTGTTGGGAGTTGAGGGGGGAGGCAACTAAACAGGCAAGGAGGATGCACTGATCAGGGCCAAGGAGGTCTGCCAGGGAGGTCAGGGAGGTCTGCCAGGGAAAGGCAAGTTAGGCAAGGTGCTTCACCTTAGTTCCCTTCTCAGTTAAATAGGGCTAATAGTAGTGTATGCCACTTTGAGTGTTGTGAGGATTAAATTAGGTATTGTGCAAAGAGCTCTTAGCTCAGTGCCTACTCATTAGGCTTCCATTATTATAATTCTCAGATTCTTTGGTGTGGATATTGTCCCACTTCACAGAGGAGTGAACAGCTCGGAGCAAGTTCAGCTTATAAATCCTCTAAAGTGTCACAAGTTATGGGAGGCATCCTGCCCAGAGCAAAGGGTCATAGAGAAAGGTCATCAAATTGGAGAGTGTGGGTTCTGGAGATGCTTCTGAGAAGGCGTGAGGCTGCAGCTGGGTTCCGAGAGGCTTGATGAGGGGCAGCATTGCAATTCATGGCAGGAAATGGGTGAGGGAGTGAGGGGTCCCTCTAAAGGAGCGGGTGGAGAGGGAGGAGGTGGGGGCAGGCTGTGATGTTAGAGGTTAGAGGTCAGATCATGGAGATCGTTGAACTCCAGAATAAGGCTTTCAGAGTGTGGGTACTGGGAGCCATTGATAGCAGTGCCTGGTGAGATTTGCGTTTGGATTGGATAGATTGTTAGGAGGAAGGCCGAACCCCTCCGAGGGGGAGCCGTGAGAGATGGCAGCACCAAAAAAATGACCAGTGGGAGTAGGGACAGGGAGAGAAGAGGTTGACTTCAAGAACTGCTGGGAGCCAGACTCTCCACCGTTGATCCAATATGGGGAGTAAGCTGGGGGGAGAACTCATGGCTGATTTGCAGGTGTCTGGGCTGGGTGTCTCATTGAGGGTGACACTCAGAGTCGTGTGTTCCTGGAACAGAGGCAAGACTGGAGGGTGAGGAAAGAATTCTCAGTATTCGAAATACAGACGTTGGGGACTTCCCTCATGGCCCAGTGGTTAAGACTGTGCTCTCAGTGCAGGGGGCCTGGATTTGATCCCTGGTCTGGGAACTAGATCCCGCATGCCACAACTAAGACCTGGCGCGGGCAAATAAATAAATAAATATTTTAAAAAATAAAATAAAATAAAATACAGACTTTGAAGGGCTCATAGGGCCTCTAGGAATGGACACCAAATGGTAGAGAGAGTCAACATGTGGGTGGCAGCAGGGCCTTGGGAGGATGAAATGGGTCAGCACCATCCCTTCCCCCCGCATAGGACACAGGACTCTCTTGGTGGAGACCATGGGCCAGGAAAGGGTGTT